GTGGCTTCTTTTGTGTTGAGCAGACACAATCCTGTCGAAAGAAGAAACCGTTCAATGAGTGCCCCTCGAGAATCTCTTCTAGAGCTTCCCCACAAAGGATTGTGTGCATTGAAATCACCTAAAATGATGTAAGGCACCGGAAGCTGCCTAATTAAATTATCTAGCTCCTCGTACTTCAGCTGATATCCCGGGGAGATATACACTGAGCAGACAGTAATCACGCGGTCAAGCAGCAAACGGACAGCCACAGCCTCGAGAGAGGTTTGCAAAGCCACTTCAGTGGACGGGACCATGTGTTGGACAACCACTGCAACACCACCGGAAGCTACAGATGCGTTTAACCTATCTTTTCTGAACACTTTGAGGTGTCTAAGAACATTTGAGTAACTTTCTTTAAGGTGTGTCTCCTGCAAACAAAAGGCAGCAGGGTGGTGTTCATTTATTAAAAAGGTGATGTCGTCATAATTGGAAAAAAGCCCACGACAGTTCCATTGTAAAAAAAACAGACATTATTAATATTAGGCAGTTAGCTTTTTACCAGAAAGTCACAAGCTTTGTGTAATGGTAGCTAGAGTAAAACTAAGCCAGTGACAGGAGGTAAATTTAGTAAAAATGGAAATGGGCATGAATGATGATTTAATGAGTCTGCAAGAAGGCAGCTGCGACCGAACCTTTGGGGAAAAACAATTAAAAATAAAGCCCCAGGCGAGGGAGTCGCCAGTGGTCCTCTGGTTGGTCTACATGGAACTGCCCCCTCCGACCTCCAAGGGCGTCGAGACTTTGAGCCGAGGCCACTGGCGAGGGAGTCGCCGTTACTCCTCTGTCTCGGCTGGTCCCTAGGAGTAGGTGTAGCAATGGGAATGGGCAAGGTAACTTGGTGATGTAAGGTTAGTGTAGTGACTGAAGATGCAGGATGATATTCTTGTTAAAAGAGCATACCAGCCTTGCAAAGTATAATTGTCACTTCGGTGGTACAATTGGTTTTTTGCTCTTGTGCTTGCCCTTGGGGACCTGCCACTCCATGTCGTCTGGGTCAGACGCAGGAGTGGATGGGTCAGCAGCCTCCTCCATTGGTTCTGCCTCCTGGGCGGAGGCTGTTCTAGCCGGTTTAGGGAGGCTCTGGGCACGAGGTGGAAAACCCCGGCCCCGACCTCCACCAACAGCAGGAACAGAGGTACTGGGCGGGCAGTCGCCCAAGCCCACCTGCTCCTGCCCCTTGGGTGTTGGAGCAGTGGCACAAGAATCGTGCCGCTCCTTGGATGAGGACGCTCCCTCCGAAGAATTCGGTCGGGAGCGTGGTCCCCTCTCCTTGGAAGGAGACCGCGAAGCACCGACAGGTGCGGACACAGCCGACCCATCTTGGGTAAGAGAAACAGCCTGTGAGCCCTCTACATGAGAGGGGACAGGCTGCTGCCCCGTGGAAGAGGAACAACTCTCGCTGGAGGAGGATGTAGGCCTACCAGCCGAGAGTGAATGCCCAGGAAGCCGAAGCTTCAGCTGGGGTGTTGGGGACTGCAGTGGCTTCCTAGCATCCGGGAAGGATGTCTGAGTTGCCACCGCAACCTTATGGTGCAGGTCCCCGCTGCACCACCTGTGCAAAGCCACCCTTGCGCAAAAATGCGAAGCGGCGACGCGCCTCTGGGTATGAGAGGTTTTCTTTCACTTTAAGGGTAAGAATTTCCTTCTCATCTTTCCACGTCTTACACGATCTGGAGTACGCGGGGTGGGGTTCTTTGAAATTTACACAGACTGCGTCGTTGGAGCAAGAGTCTGCTGCATGGTCAGTTTTGCCACACTTAGCACATGTGGCTTTGCCGCGGCAGTTCTGTGAGCCATGTCCAAATCTTTGGCAGTTGAAACACCTTCTGGGGTTTGGAACGTACGGACGAACTCTGCAGAAAAGGTATCCAGCTTTCACAGACTCGGGAAGTGTGGTGGCCTCAAAGGTAAGCACAATGTGCCTCGTCTTCAGCTCTTGGCCGTCACGACGCAAGGAGATGCGCCTTGCAGCTACAACCCCCTGGTCAGAAAGGCCCTCCACTACTTCGCTCTCAGACGCGTCCAGAAGGTCGTCCTCCGAGATGACTCCTTGGATGGTGTTCAATGTCTTGTGGGGTGTCACGGTAACCTTGTAGTCCGACACAGAGTTGAGTGCAAGGAGCACAGAACTCTGGCGGCTGGTCTCAATTTCAACAAGTAAATCGCCTGATGCCAGCTTTTTAGCCTTGAAATTCTTCCCAACCACACTCTCCAGGACTTTTGCAACAAGAAATGGTGACATTTTCGAGAGTGGTTTGTCACTTTCAGAGTGGAGTACTAAGAATTTCGGGAATCTAGGTCGAGTAGAATGTGTCTCGTGCGAAATAGAAGCTTCGGTGCGACCCCTTTTCGGGGGCCGATCAAGGAAAGATTTTTTGTGCAGACCCATAGAGATGGGGAAGAAAATTCAGTGCCCGGGTGCACCGCCCACCACGGAGCCCAACAAGGGGGTAGGTAATGTGCCATAGCAAGAAAGGCTTGGCTGACACAATTACACTACCAGTGCTGCCCGGGCACTATACCCTAGTTTGGTTGCAGGGACAGATCCTGTATCCACTCAAGGTTGGCCCTTGCCGCCTAAGAAAGAGAAAAAGGAAGGAAGAGAGTGAAGAAGAAAAGAGAAAGAGGTGGAAGGAAAAGTGAAAGAAGGAAGAAGAGGGTAGAAGAGGCGACTGACTGAATCATCCTGGTCGGGCCAGGCCAGGACACCCGTCTACGAGAAGCAGGGGCCGAAGCGGTGTATTGCCTCGCCCGGGGGGCCCCGAAGGGTCCAAACATACCCCGGGCTCAGCTCAACCACCAGGGTCCCCTTTTCCCCGGACACGGGTATGCCACGCACAGCCACACGTGGGTGGGCGAACACACATGGCTCGGGGTTCGTAGTGACGCCACTCACCAAGCACCTACTAAAGTAGGTGCCCCCTGCGTGCGGGTATGGTGGCCCACGTGGCTGGGGTCCGTGGTGACGCTACTCACCAAGCACCAAGCACCTAAGGTGCAGGCGCCCCCTGCGGGGCTCGGGGTCCGTGGAGACGCCACTCTCCAAACCTGCTTTCACAGGTGCCCCCTGCGGGGTATTAGCGCGTGGACTGTTCCGAAGGGAATATACGTGATGCCCATGTTTTAGATTCTAGAAAGTGTTTCGAAAGCAGGAATGTGCACGTAGCGGGGGCATCTTTCAAAGCTGTATCTACCCATTCGGACAGACAGTATTTGCTGCACTCCACGAAATTGACACGGAGTGGCAACGTCCTGAAAATATGTCTCCTGCAAAGCATGGAACCAGTAGCAGACGTTTTACTAGGGGCCCCGCCCCGCTATCCAAACAAGCAACAAACACTGCCTGCAGAAGTCTCAAGTGTAGGCATTGTTAGCAGCATTTCTTTCGAGCGTCACCAGATGACCAGGAAGAAGCATATTGGCGAAGGATGCTGCAAATTGGGCGCACCAAAAAAAAAAAAAAAAAAGTTAACTTTTAGGGTGAACATTTTTAAATGCAGAATATTGTCCAGCTTTTAGCGCTTTCGTGCCGGAGTCGGGGATGTAACCTTAAAAAAGCATGCAGCCAAGAATTGCACGCTCCGCGTGCAATCTGCGACTGCTTCTGTAGCGAGGACTTTCCTCATTTTGCGCGTTCGGTGACAGCATGGTGGACTACACGTACTATGATGGTTCTTGATTGCGTGCTTTGTTTTCGGGCTTTGCTGCATGGTACGTGATATTTTTTTGTTCGCTAGGGAAATCAACATAGTTTCTTTACTCGTAACGGGTACTTTGTAGCGTTATTCACATTATACACGTGTAATTTATTTAGTTAATGTTATTTTCTTTTATTAGTAAGCGATGTTTAAGTTAGCGAAATTCGAGGTCCAGGTATATGTTGTACAGCTTCATATGTCAATACAAGCTATAAATTCAAGCAAAAAGCTTGAATTGATAACTTGCTTGCTTGAATTTGCTTGAATTGCTTAAATTTTCTTGAATTGAAATTCAAACAAAAACTTCATGTTTGTCGTCTGTTTTGATTGTCTGATATGGCATATATTAGCATCCTTTGGGTGTTTTGTCAGACTGATTCACACCGTGTGTTTCCTAGCATTGACTGTATGCGTAATGACGTGCCCTATACGAACGGTCTGCAACGTCCACACGTATTATGAATGTGTGTAGGGTCATTTTAGCGCAGTGTTTGACACAATGAAGTCTAAAGAAAGACGCTCTGACACATAGTTTTGTACATACGATTGGAAAACTTTCCAAACTTTTGATTTTGTCACAACACTAAGCAATCTTTGCACTTATAATCGAGCGCGAAGAGAAAACGCATTTCCGTTTTCCCATTGGAATGCATTACCGGAAGTCAAATTTAGACTTGTTGCTGTCTGCTTGAAAACGCAACTGCACACTAGCACCACCTGAACCTCTAGCGTTTTTTGTTCCCAACTCTATGGCAGGGGTGGCCAGGCTGACCCGGCCTAAGAGCCGCAAACAAAACCACGAAACTTCCAAGAGCCGCAAGGGTGGGCAAACTTTTGTCCAGAGCAAGAAACGAAACTCGAACTACTTTCGATATATCCGAGTTAAAAGTAGTCCAACTGTACGTAAGGTAGTAGTAGCTCAAGACTACCAAACCTCAATCTGTCTTTCTATTTAAAACGCGTTTTATTTCTCTTATTGAAGAAGTGCTCGTGTGACCGGAAGGCGGGGAAGGGCGGGGGGGGGGGGGGGGGGAGGGGGGAGGGGGAGCCGCGAAGAGCCGCATGCGGCTCGCGAGACGCAGCTTGGCCACCCCTGCTCTATGGTTTCGGCCTCTGCAAAACGAACAAAGCGGGCCCGCCTCGCTTCTTTTGTGCCCCCCCCCCCCCCCCCCCCCCCCCCATTTCGAATGGACGATGCGCCTTGACCTTGTTCCGAGTTGCGCTAAAGCTCACATTTCGTTCCCCGCCCGCCTCCCGTTGCAGATGGCAAACGGCCGACGTAGCACGTTCTGGAACCAGCTGTCGGCACTTGTGTGGCGGAACTACCTGCTCAAGAAGACCGAAAAGGCCAAGACGTTCTGGGTGAGTCAGCTATCTGTCCGCCCTTGCGGGGACACGGGACAGTCGTTGCACCTGTGTCCTCACGTGCGCGCTGAATGGCCTTGAGGGTGTTCGCTCGAAACGCCGTTCATTTGTCATCCATCGATTAGCTGAACCACACTTTAGAAAACGTCCGAGTTCTCTTTCCCGCAGAGCACGCATACAGCCAGTCACTGGGAACAAGGGGAGTATCTCGGCGAATGTCGAAGCGCAGAGTACGATTCGATCTGAAAAATGCCACGTGCGCAGGGACGAGCAAGTGGAACGTCATGCTCGTTGCCCCTGCGCATCTCGCATTTTTGTTTAGGCCTAATCGTATTCCGCGCTTTGTCCTTCTCTGGGAGCCTTCGATTGCTCGCCTCTATTAGCTGTCTTTGTCCCCTGCGGGAAAGCGAAGTCACAAACCTCTTTCAAGTGCACCAACGAGAGCGAGCGCTTGCGCTTCACTAATTAAAGTAAAAATAATAAAAAAAAAAATTCACGAGCATTTAGATGTTTGAGACAGATGTGACGTGAAAACTATATAGTTTGCCGTTTGGTGATTGGGGAGAGAATCGGTGTGTCACGTGACGTATATTTTCCCGCTAAGTTCAGCGGGGAAACCGAATGGTTGCATAGGTTACGGGACGTCACGTCATGTGGCTTCAATTTCCCCGCTAAATTTAGCGAGGAAACTCGATTGGCGTCTAGGTAACGAGACGCGTATTTTCCCGCTAAATATAGCGGGTAACTGAATTGGTGTATAGGTCACATGACGTCAATTTCCGACAAAATTGAACGGGAAAACTCGAAGGATGTTAGGCCACAAGACGCGAATTTTTCCGCTAAATTTAGCGGGGAAACGGTGTCGCCGCATAGGTCAGGTGCCGTCAATTTCTCCAAGTTGTATACGTTGCGCGGCGTCAGAAGGCGTCACGCGATGCTATTTTCGTGCCAAATTTAGCGGGTAAATTAAATTGGTGCATAGATCACAGGGCGTCAACTTTTCCGCTAAATGTTGCGGAGAAACTGTACTGGTCCGCATGTCCCGTGACGTGAGGTCACGCGACATAAATTTTCCCGCTAAATTTGGCTCAGATACCGAATTCGCGTATAGGTGTGGTGACATCAATTTCCCCGCTGAATTTAGCGGGAAATGCACAGGCGGACGGGCGGACAAAATGTTGGGATTGGAGGGCAGCGTTAAAGAGCATTTCGTGTTCTTTAAAAGCGCAGGGTTGCCGCGCTTTCACCGTTCGTGATTGGTTTCGTCGGTGACGGCAGACGTACAAAGACGATGCACTTTCGCCGCTGCTTGATGGGCTGCATTGGGTGGTAGCGTCAGCTGTGGTCAGGCTTAAAGTGAAACAGGGTACGGATCTCACCGTGACGACGTCCAAGTGCTGCTCTGCTGGGTGTAGCCCGAAACAACCCATTCCCGTTTGAACTCGTCCCGTCTTGACCGATTCCCGAAACGACCTTCCCGTTTCAACCCATTTCCGTATCGGCCGTCCCATTTCAACCCGTTCCCGAAACGCCCTTCTTATGTGAACCTGTCCCGTTTCAACCCGTTCCCGAAACGCCCTTCTTATATGAACGCGTAGCAGACGCACCCTTTACGCTTGAGCCCGTCCCGTTTAAACCCATTGTTATAAAGCCCCGCACATCTCATCCCCTTCGCGAAAAGTCTTCATCGTTCTAACCGTGGTTTGCGCAAATTTTCTCCTTAAGAATAGGTTCCAAAATTTTGTTAATGCAATTAATGCAAAGGTGCCGGCGAGCTATTTAGTTATCTGGTAAACTAGTTTTTATTGTCAACATATTCTTAAAATATACATCGCTTTTAGACAAGCTCCAACGAAATATATTTCTACTTGAACCACTGGAAATGTTTCTTTCAAGATGGTCCCCAAAATATTGTAGGAATTCGCGTACCGCCGCCGATTCGCCGTTTCTCACGTGGTCCGACAACAACCCGAGTCCAGCCTGGTTCTTTCACGGGAGCGGGATTCCGCTCCCAGTTTATTGGTACAATAACACACAACGCTACGAAACACTCAATCTAAAATACAAATACAAGCTAAATTACGCAAATATTTACAGACGCACTTTAAGCTCAAAGCTAAACACAAAGAAGGCCCCCAGGCCTCGTGTCCCGCGATATCCTAGATCCGGTCGCCACCCACCTGCCTGCGTCTCGGTCCCGTCCGGAGTTCCCAGAGGCCTCTCGCCCCCTGCCCCACCGAGTACATATCGATCGATGGGCGAGGAGGTTTCTCCTCGCCCATCGATGGATGAATACGGCTGAGCCCTTTGGATCGGGCGGTAGCTTACGCCACCTAGCCATTTGTTTTACCATTTAAGTTTAGAATATTTAAATGTGAAATCTATATTCACTCCGCAGTGCAAAGAAAGTGAGGCTATGAAACCACCTTGCCATCAGTGAATAAGAAAATACCTAGTTTTCTCTCGATTTCTGCCACCATTCACTTAATCTTTGCTTGGTAATCTCTACAGTCTTGAAATCCACTCTCCCCTCGCTGTCTCTAAAACCCAATGACGGGGGGGCGCCTGCAGCGCCCTCCAATGGCTAGGAGAGAAAGCGGCGCGTCGGGAGCCGAATTCGAGATCCCGATCGACCCCGCGGTGACACGACCGTGTGATCGTGTCTGAGGCGAGGCAGCTACGCAGCTGCCTGGCGGCCAAGGATTGGCAGAATGGTTTGATGGGCGCCCTCGTGGGTGCACGGTGCGCCATAATGTGGAACTACGAAACGGACTATGTGCACTACGCGACAACGTTACCGCGAACACGATGTTGACGACTTTTTAAATGTTACTTCGAAATGGTGTTAGAAGGTAGAAAATTGTATCGCTTAGGTTAGTTACCCAGATGAGTACTTTCGAAGAAACTAATAATATTGATGGCAGTCTTTTGATTCTTTGAGACAAACAGCGAAAACCAACAATCGCTTGTTGGCGCTAACAGTGTCGCACTCTGTACAAAAATGAAGTCTTAGAATAACGCAGGCAAGGGCACTTTGAGTAAGCAAAAATTAGCGTTGCCTTAGGTTTTGAATATCGCGACGCTCTTTTTAGGTTACCCAAAGCGCTTACGTACGTTATTCTAAAACTTCCTTATAGTGAATGGGATATTTTGAAGACTGAGAAATCAGACAAGTTGACAGGCATATGATTGCGACTTCATTTTCTTACGAGTTTAAGCACAGAGGAAAAATGCGTAAACTACAAAATGATCTCGCCTTTCTTGAGGAAAATCTCATTATCAGAAAGGCGACACTCGAATGTTGATAGTCCGCGGCTGTCCCCTGGCCCGCAGGGCACCACCATTTGCAAGCTGCTGCAAAGATATCCTTGTCAAGGTTGTTTATCGTAGAATTTGGGCTAGTTGGTATGCAGACATAATTAAAAACAAAACAGCGCAAATACGATGGACAAAGTAAAAGGTAACCAACAGGACACAGTGCTGTATCTTGTCGGTCACGTTTTACTTTGTTCTTGTCTTTGCGTTGTTTTGTTTTCAGTTATGTCTTGTCAAGGCCTTATCCCGTTTGATCAGATCGATGAAGCTGTTAATGTTCGGGTGAGCCCTCCATGACACAGCTTTTATCTTACGGTGCCATGTCTCCAAGGTTGTTTCGGGAGAGGAAGTGAGGTGAGCAAGGAGGACAGACATTGGACACTTGAACCCAACCAACTGTTAACGTACAGTACAAACGAACCGACCCAATAGACTACTTCCATAAAGCCCTGCATGCAACACGGCGCGCGTTGCACTCTGGGAACTAGTTGGCCAGGGAGGTGGGTGGCATGGTTTCGGTTTCGATCGACACGTCGACAAGAGATCATACACAGAGCGTGGACTATTAACGGTCATTATCTCATGTTTTCTGGTCCCGAGAGCGTCATTTGTGGCCTCTAAACTAACCTAAATGGCCAGACCTCGAAGCTTTAGCACATGCCCGAGACGTATAGCTTGTCTTAACCTTTCTGTTAGCATTCCAATCGAGGTATGTGGACTAGCCAGTGCTTGGAATTTCGACGCTGCAAAGCTCGGTAATCTTGCTTGTGTACGAATCAACAACCCAGGCAGCACACCAATGTTGGACCTACATCGGGCCAACAATGGCAAACGCTGGCTCCGGAGGTTGGTTAAACATTGGTATTCTGGCCGAGTGCAACTTCTTCCAATGTTGGCCCAGCCATTGGCACTAACGTTGGGCCATCGTTCAACCAATGTTCCAGCCATCATTGGCACCAACGTTGGGCCATCGTTCAACCAGCCTTCCAGCCGTCATTGGCGCCAACGTTGGGCCATCGTTCAACCAATGATCCAGCCATCATTGGCACCTTTTTTAGGCCATCGTTAAACCAATATTTCAGCCATCGTTGGCATCCACACTATGTCATTGGCTATGCCAATTTTGGCTTTCACACTAATTCAATGGCTATGCCATCATTGGTATGCAAGTTCAATCATTGAATAGGCCGTTACCGGCAGTCAAGCTGATTCATTGGCATGTCCCAGTGTTAATGCCATGTCTTTAATGCTGGCTATGAAATGATGGCAATGTGTTTAAATCCTGGTTATTCCAACATTGGGTTTTAAGAACCCCTGGCCTGTTTCTTATTAGCAGCCCACTGCAAGAAAAACATTCTGGGCACAAATGGCAAGGTCATCCTATGCTTTGTCTGTGCACTATTTTATCTGGCGAGCAAATGACTAATTCAAGATCAAGTAATACTTTTTTCGGAATTTTATTGAAAGGGGCTAGGGAGGAAGCTCAGCGGGGAGCCTATGCCTGGTCCTGGGGAAGGTCCTGGGGCGAGTCCTGGGGCTGGGGAGCCATTACGGCTTCCGAACGCCTCTTCCTGCAGCCTCCCCTTTTGCAAGACCCTGGCAGCCACTTCAGCACCATTTTTAAGCTGCCGATTCTTCAATTGTTAGCTTCGCACTGATGGCATCTACGAAAAGATCCAAAG